AAGTCCCAGCCCTGCTGCAGCCCCCACCTGCCTGGAACATGGGGAAGGTCCCAGCCCCACGGTGTAGGACACCCCCTGTGCTGCCCGAGGGTCCCCAGCAGGCACTGCCCACTCCCAGCGGTCCATGCCCTCCAGCCCCTTCCCATCCCTGCTGTCCTCGTGGCCCCCTCTGTCCCTGCTTCTCTGTCACTGCGATGTTTGGAGGTTGCATGACCCCTAATAAAGCACCATCCCCTGTGCCCATCTACCTGTTCTCTGGGTGCTGAACCCCATGCTCCCTGGGGGGGTCAGTGAGAGGTGGGCAGTGGGGTTGGCAGCTCCTCGGTGCTGCCCCTGTCCCCTCCACCCCTTGTTGTGACACTGTGCTGTTCATGTGTCCTCGTGGTGACACTGACCTGGCACAGATGGTGACAAGATCCATAAGCTGAGACGGGTAGATTCAGAGGAGATAATAGAAAAATGTTTTCCCTGTTAGGGTGTTCAGGCACTGGAATATTGCCCAGGGAGGTGGTGGAGTCACCATCCCTGGAGGTGTTTAAGAGGTATCTGGATCTAGCATTGGTGATATGGTTTAGGGGTTACAGCAGTGACAGGTTCATGGCTGGACTTGATGATCTTAGAGGTCTCCTCCAACCTTGATGAATGTGATTCCAAGAGCCCAGGGCAGCTCCCAGCCCCATGCCCCACATTCCGGGTGTCCGTGCCAGCAGCGTGCAGACGGCGCAGGAGCGCTGGGCCCTGGAGCGGCGCTGCTTTCATGTGCCCGAGCAGGCACTCGCCCTGCTGTGCTGCGGCCCCGAATCCAGGGCATGGAGCAGAGAGAGGCAGGAACGGAGCCTGTCTGCTGCCCAGCACAAGGGCACTGCCACGTGTCATGTGCTATGGGATGTGTGCCATGTGCCATGTGTCTCATGCCATGTACTTTGTGCCATGGGCCATGTGATATCTGCTGTGTGGCATGTGCCATGTATGTGCCGTGTGCCATGTATCCTGTACCACGTGCCATGCACTATATGATGTGTGCCATGTGCCACGTGGTGTGCCATGGGCCGTGCACCAGGTGCTATGTATGTGCAGTGTACCGTGTATCCTGTGCCACCTTGTGTGCCACATACTGTGTGATGTCTGTCATGTACCATGCGCCGTCTGCTATGATGAATACCATGTGTTGTCATGTGCCCTGCAACATGTGCCACATACCATGTGCTACATGCCACATGCTCTGTGATATGCACTGTGATCTGTGCACCACGTCCACGTACGTTGTGACATGTGCTGTGTGATGTCTGCTGTGTCATGTACCATGGGCCATATGCCATGTACTGTGTGCTGTGCTATGTGTTGTCTGCCATTTATCTTGTGCCACATGCCATGTGCTATGTGATGTGTGCTATGTGCATTCTCATGTACCACATGTTGTGTGCTGTGTGTCACGTGCCATGTTCTGTGCCATGAGCTATGTGCTGTGTTCCATGTGCCAGGCACCAACCATGCTGCAGCCACATGCCATGTGCTGATGACACCAGCCTGGTGCCAGCAGATATTCCTGGGGAAGTGACATCCCCTGGGGCAGGGTGTGCCCAAGGCCAACCCAGGGACTGAGATTGGAGCCTGGCACAGCAACTTGGGGCAGGGTCCACCTGAGAGCTGCTCACGTGTGTGTCACTGAGCTGAGCTCTGGGATGCTGCTGTCACCCCGGGTGTGGGCACAGGTGCCAGACTGTCCCTGTGTGGGCAGTCACTCACTGGGCACTGCCAGCAGTGCAGGGCACAGGCAGGGCACCCTGCCCGCACCCCCATCCAACGCCTATTTATAGCTCCTGATTCATCTCCCATAACGCGGGATCGTGGATGTTGCCATGGAAACCCAAACCTGCCTCCTGGAAGGCTGCGGTACCCGGCACGGGACTGCCCTGGCACCATGATCCATGGGGACAGACAAGTGCCCCATGAGGGCTACAGGGGGACCCCACAGGGCTGGGGGTGTGTAGAGTCACATCAGGCTGTACCCTCTGGCAGTGGGGAGGGGTGGCAGGGGTACAGAGGTGGCAGAGGTGCCAAGGGTGCAGGTGTGGCAGAGCTGGCAGTGGTGGAAATGCTAGAAGGGGTGGCAGGGGTACAGGGGTGACAAGGCTGCCAGGGGTATCAGGGGTGCAGGGACACCAGTGTCACTGTCCCATAGACACAAGGAGGGTCTTGCCACCTACAACCTCTCAGCCAAGCCCTATCCAGGAGTCCTCTGCTGCCAGGGCCAAGCCCCTACACCCCTCACCCTGATCCTGTGCCGTGCTCACCTGGCAGTCGGGTAGCAAAGTTAGTTGATTATTGACGGCGCCTGAGCTTCCCGGGTGGGTGGCTCCATACAGTAATTCCTTGGAGTGTAGCAGGAGAGGGGCTGGAGGGGTCAGGGTGCTGCCTGCCTGGGGCACCCTAGGGTGCTGGGGCATGGGCACAAGCCCTTGGCAGGCACAATATCCCAGGAGTGCAGAGACCCAGCCAGGGTGGTCGGGGCACTGTGCACCTCCACCAAGGCGTCAGGAGCTGCACTGGCAGGGTCAGGGCATTGGGGTGCAGAGGGCAGTAGGAAGGGGTGCACTGGGGCAAGGCCAAGGCAATGGGGTGCACAGGGCATCAGGGGAGAGGATGCACTGGGGCAGGACTTGGGGGGACAGAGGGTACCCGGAGGGGGGTGCAGAGGATGCACTGGGGCTGGGAGCTCCAAGGGTGGGGCACCTCGGGTGCTGCTGGAGGAGCCAGCTCCATGTCACTCTGCTGACAAATCCTGTCCCCATGCTGACCCTGGCACGGAGCCTGACACCCCGCACGCCCACGCCGCTCTCCCGGCCATTGCCCCCAGCAGCTGATACGGTCCCCGGGGATGGGTCCCCACCCTG